TCCCAACTGTGTGACGGGTTGGGCAAGTGACTTCACCTCTTGAAAACCTCTGGTTTTCTACAAAATGGAGATAATCAACCCCACAGGGTTGGCATAAGATTATAAGATAATGGATGTGAAAATGCTTTTTAAAAAGTATTTATGGAACTTTTCAAACATAATCACAAGTAAACATTATAATGAAGGCCCATGTACCCCTCTTCAACAATTATCATCGCATTTTTTTCTATATCCCCATCCACTTTTCTCCCATCCCCACTGGAATATTTTAAAGCAAATCCCAGACATGCCCTTTTTTCCCATAAATACTTCAGTATTGAATTCTTTTTTACATTTTTCATAACTAAAAGATAATACATGATAGCTGTAAAAAATTTGGAAAATGAAGAAATCCTGTATAAAAGACAAAACAGTACAGCTGAAACTAACACAACATTGTAAATCAACTATACTCCAATAAAATTTTTTTTAAAAAGAGAGAAAACAAAAATCACCCATAACCCTACCACCCGGAGACAACCACATTTTGGAGTAGTCTATTATTTATTCTATGCACACCCACATATATATACATTTTTAACAAAAGTGGGATCCTACTGTATACGCCATTCATAAGTATTCATTTTATTTTAACTATAAAAGTAATAAAATCATATTAAAGAAGAATCATAATCCTTTACCACTTAATATAAAAACTGTTAATATTTTAATACATTTCCTTCCCATTTTTTTCAATTTACAGCCATACTGTTAACACCAGCGGGATTGTACTGATTACGCACTTTTCAAATTATGAACCTGTTTTAATTGTAAGAAAATAATATAATCTTATAGCAGAAAAATAAAGGAAAAGAAAAATATCATCCATAATCCCACCATTCAATTATAATCACTGTTAACATTTTGGTGTTCTGTTTGTTTTTTTCTAGGTTTTTTTTTTTCCTTAAGATACTTTTTTGGGGGGGGGTGGGCCACACCCCGCAGCATGTGGGATCTTAGTTCCCCAACCAGGGATCAAACCTGTGCCCCCTGCATTGGAAGTGTGGAGTCTTAACCACTGGACCACCAGGGAAGTCCCTATTTTGGTGTATATTCTTTCAATATTTTTTCTATGCACAAATAATTTTAACAATAGTAGAAGCATACTGTTTACACAGTCCATTAACTATAAACTTATAGTAAATTATAAGAATAATATAATCATATTGCATAACAGAGAAAAGAGAAAAAAAATGCCTCACAATCCTACCACCCGCCTGACACTGTTGTTTTCCTGACCATTGCTTCATTACCCATATTCATACATGGTTGGAAACAGTGAGTACTTAATTTTCTGCTCTTTGTGCCCTTTGCAACTTGGCATCATATTTATGCAACTTTGTACCCTGTGTCTTTTTTTTAGTTAATATTTTGTTGTGAACATTTTCCCATGAATAAAAGAGTTTTTGAAATCAGGATTTAAAAACAATGTTTTTTAGTATCAAGGTACCAAGGGCCGCTCCTTCACCATGGACATTTAAATTGCTTTCCATTTTTCACTATTACAAACAATTCTGCTCCAAACATTCTTAAACAAAGACCTGTGCTTTTATGGGAGATCCCTGGTGGCCTAGTGGTTAGGACTCCAGCCTCTCACTGCTGTTGTCCGGGGTTTGATCCCTGGTCGGGGTTTGAACTGAGATCCTGCAAGCCACGTGGCAATGTGTGCTTTTTAACTTTTCTACACACTTATTGTATATGTTTCTAGAGACCACTCTGTATGCATACGGGCTGTCCTGTAAAAAGTCATGGTCTTTTTTTGCTCCCTAATTTGCTCCCATCATAAGGCTCAGACAGCCCTTGGTTCTGGAAGGTGGGATTTTGAGAACAAACCTGCATTTTCCTCTTTCTCCCCTTCCTGAGTTTATAGACCTGCTTCATCCCCTCACAGCCTGGTTTTTAAATTAATCAGTCAGCAAGTATTATTGAACCTGAAGTGTGTAAGCTGAGGCAGGACTAGGAGGCAAAAGGAAAAGAATCAGAAGGCACAGCATTTGTGGACCACTTACTACACAGCAGGCATCAACCCAAGCTTTTCCTTTGATCCTTGCAACAAGCCCACGGAGTTGCTCCCATTATAATCCCCATTTAACAGATGGGAAAACTGAGGCCTGAAGAATGAAGCCATTTGGCTTAAGATCACAGAGCTAGTAAATGGCAGAGTAGGGATTTAAACCCAGGAGGACTGACCCCTGAACCTGTACTCTTGACCACAGTTTAGATGCCCCCTTACCCTCCCAGGCAGCAAGGTGCAGGGGTGAGGGTGAGGACTCTACACTCAGCCTAACCTGGATTCAAACACCGGACCTCCTGGCTGTGTGAACTTGAACAATCTCTGGGACTCCTTTTCACCTTTGGTAAACCCTACCTCACAGGGCGTGGGAATTAAGTGAGATGATGGTTGGGAACATGCCAGGTCCAATGCTGGAGCACAGAAGGTTCTTGCTGGGTGATCATCCCTGTCCTCTCCTTGGTTTGCGAGCTCGCAGTCTAGTTGCCAAGTTAGAGATAAGAGTTCAGCGGAGAGCTCTGAGCTCTGCTGGAACCGACTGGGAAGTCAGTGATCCAGGGCATATTTGCAGAGAAATGCAAATGTCTCCTTTGCTCTCTCCCTGCCTCTGAGACTAACCTCCCCTTCCATCTGCCCCCCAAAGGAAAAGGGTGGCTTTTGTGCTCCAAAGCTGAGTGCCCGTAGCCCCTCTCTTTCCTGCTCCCAAGGAGGTGGACAGTGGAGATGACAGGAAGTTACCAGTGGGGAGACCCTTTCTGGCATGTGGGCAAAGAGAAATGTGGCGGAGGGCGCTCCTTTTTCTGCCCTTCAATGGTCCGGATGGGGGAGGGGGCTGGCTGTTGAGCAACTGCTCCGGAGACACTCCAGAAGCCGAGATGAACATATGCCTCTTTCTAACAATTGGCCTGGGAGCCATCCAATAGATGGAGGGCGGATCCGCCACCTCCCGGATCCGGAGCCTTCCGCAGAGACGCTGTCGCGGTTTCCAGACCCTCTCCCGAGCGGGGGCTGAGGGGGAGGGTAGGTCGGAGGTCCAAATTAGCAAAACACAATTCGAAAGCCCGGGGTCGCTCACGTCAGGCAAACACCAAGATGGCTTGAGGGTGTATTTCACAAGCAAACTTTGTAGGGTTTTAGGGTCCCGATAGATCCCGCCTTTTATCAGAAGGAAACTGGGCACGACCTACAATCTTTGTGCAAAGTGAGAAAGTGCAAGGATGGTGTGTGGGATGTGATTGTTACTGGGGTTTGTGTTGAGGCAGGGTGAGGGGAAGGAAGGGAGACAGGCAAGATAGCTTTGGGGGCTGGGGAATGGGTTTACCTGGCGTCCAGAGCACTGGCCCCAGCTTACTCCAGGCGTCAAGGAAGGGCCTTGATCTGTCCCTCTGTTTGCTCCTCATCTTTACGTCAGTAAGCCAGTCAGTCCATCGACAAACAGAACTTTGTTCAAAGAGCAAATGCAGGGCACTTTGGGGTACTAAAGAAAAAGAATAAGAAAGAAAGAAAAGAAGAGAAAAAGTGGGAAAGAAAGAAGAAAAGGAAAAGACCTTTAGGTCTTCAAATCCAATTAAGAAGACAGAACACATACACAGTGAAAATGACTTCATGACATTCCCTCCCCCCTTTTTTCTTAACATCAGGACTTTTAAAAAAGAGCATGTTTTATAAACACTGTAAACTGAGTAGTTATTGCTGAAAGGGGCCAAGAAAAGAGAGTTTGGTAGAAGGGTAGTCCTGGTGGCCTTCCTGTAAGAGGCGAGATGGGAGCTTGTTGGCCAGGAGGAGCATGACTGAAATGAAGCAGAAGACCCGGACCGAGGAGATTTGTAAGATAACATCCTAACCCGAGAAAGATGTGCTCCTAATGCAAAATGTTATTCTTATTACCTGGAATGATTATATAATGATAATAAAATAACTTGGCATACTGGGAACGCAGGAGTCGTCCCCGCGAGCCCCGGGGCAAGCTCTTCATACCCTGCTGCCTGCTCTTGGCCTTTCGGCTGTGCCTCGTGAGCTGCACCTGGCCCCACGATCCGTGACTTATCTCCACGTCGCAACCCGCCAGCCTCCTTCAGCCCTGGATAACCACAAGAGAGAATCCCTTGAACCCAATCCCAGCTCAGGTCTTCGAAGGAAGCCACCGCTGCGGGACGGATAGGCCCTCCAAGAAGCTCTGCCTGGAATCTGGCGACTTTAAGGGGAAAGGGACCCCCAGCCTCGGCCCTTCAACCAGGGAGATGGTGCAGCCCAAAGGGAGCAGACAGACTCCGAGAAAGCCCTGCAGAAAACCCAAATCGTGCCCCTTGGACCCCGTCCCTTGTTCGTCCTCCTCCCCCAGGTCATTTCCTGAGCCCATAGCTCTCCCCCCAACTCCCTGAAGCCCGCTCTGACCACCCTCTAGATTTAGGTCAGAAAACAGACACTAACAGCTCTCCCTCGCCTCAGCGAAATTACTAAGTGGAATTTATTGGGCAAGTCCATGCAGGGCGGTGGGGAGAGACTGTGCCCGGGGCCCGGGCCCCCGCCCGCTTTAGAAGCGCAGGCGTCGGCCGGGGGCTCGGGGCTCGGGGCGACCACGGCCTGGGCCCGCCAGCCGCACCCCGGGAGCCGTGGCCGGTCCCCGGCGCCGCCGGACCCGCGGAGCCGCTCGGACTCCGTTCCCCAGCCGGCCCTTCGCTTTCACACGATCCGCGGTGACTGCACCAGCTCGAGCGCCTTTAAAGGGCCACACACGCCAGCCGCCGCTATAAAATGTTCCCAGCGGCACAGCTGCAGAAGGGGCACCGCTGAGCTGCCGAGAAGAGGCTCGCTCCGCCCGGCTGCCCGCCCACAGCCCGCCGGAGAAGGGTCGTTCCTGGCGAGGAGGAAGAGGGCTGAGGAAGGCGCAGCACCCGCTCTGGCCCTCGGTGAGTATCCAGTTCAGATTTTGCCACCAACTCGCCCACGAGCCAGGACATGTGCTAATAATGCCCTAAGCCGGTTATAAAGACGTGGAAATTGGGAGGGGGGGAGAGAAAAAGGGGGAAAAGGGTCTGTCCTTCCTGGGATTCCTAGCCGAGGCCAGCCTGCTCCCGTGTGCGTGTGCGTCAGGGCTCTCCGGGCGGCAATGGGGGCTTGAGACCCGGTTCCCCCGCGCCGGGAAGGGAGCGCGGTGGCTGCTACCGCCACCGCCACCGCCACCGCCCCGGAGTCAGGCGCCGAAGCTGCGGGCGGGCGGGCGGGCACGGGCGCGGGCCGGGGCTGCTTGGCGCGGCACGGTGAGGTGCGGCGGCGGCGCGGCGCGGTGGTGCGGGCTTTTCCCAGGCGCCCCGGGGTCGGGTGGCCCTGAGCGCGACCGGCTCGCGGCGGCGGTGGCGGCGTGCGTGCCAGGGGCTGGGGGCTCCGCCGCTGCGCCCGCGGCTCACCAGGCTCCGCGCTTCCCTCTCTCCAGGGCAGGCGGCTTCGCGGAGGTAAGCCGGGCCGCCCGGTAGGGCGGTGGGCTGGGCGGCTGGGCCGGGGACTCCAGCGGAGCGGGCGCAGGGAGCGGGCGGGGGCCGGGCGGGCCGGGGGTCTTTGGGGGACTTGTTTTCTGTTTGAAAGCTGCTCTGCTGGGGGGGCGGAGGGGCCGCCGCCCGCCCGCCCGCCAGCCAGCGAACCGGCTCGCTCGCCAGCGCGCCCGCCTGCCGGCCGGCCGGGCCAAGCGCCCGCTTCTCCTGGGGAGACAGCAGCACCTTTTCTCCCCGCGCCCGCGCTTTCTCCAGCTTGGCTTCCACCGACTTTGCTAATCGCCCGGACCGCATGTGGACGCTCCGGCTCTGGGGCTGCACAAAGCTCAGGTTTCCTTCGGGGTCTGAAGGCGAGAGGGGCTTTTCGGACCGAGTTCAGCGGAATTGAGGGATGGAAGTTAGAGAATTTGGGCAACTTGCCTCTACTGCCTGGTCGACCTCTGCTCTCCCCCACACTCACGCCCCCCTCCCCTACGCACACACACGCACACACCCCTCTGCCTATAAACGCCGGCGGCGGGGCCGGGCCGCGCACGGACTCCCTGCCTCGCCAAGCGCCGGACTTGGAGGCAGACAGACCTGGCTGCGAATCCCGGCTCCGCCACTTTCTAGCGCTGTGACCTTGGGCAAGTTACCGAACCTCTCCGAGCCTCTCACTCTTCTCGTAGCGGAGTGATAGCACTGACCACAGGCGACTTGGCTAGGGGGTAGGCTCAGCCCGCGGCCGCGTCGGGTGCTCTGCGGGCGCTCAGTAAGTGTTGGTGAGGCGCGGGAGTGGCCGCAGCCGGCGCCGGAGTGCGCCCCCGCGCGCGGTAGCACCGCGGGGCCCCAAACTCGCCGGGGAGGCCGAGACCCCGGGCCCCTCCCCGCCTGTCTATCCTGTCTCCACGATCGGTTCCTGATACGGCACTCGCGGGATCGGACGCTCGGGGCCCTGGCGGCCTGGGTGCTCGCGGTCCACCGTTCAGGGATGCTCCCGGCCGCCCCCAGCTCCAGCGGCTCCACCTGGGATGTGGCGAGGAGGGCGGCCGAGCTGTCCGCAAACAACGGGCCTTTAGTTTTCAGGTGGCGAAACTGACTGGTCTGGTTAGAGCGCATCCAAGCCAAGCCGCAGTACTGTTTGGATTTTTAAATTTCTCCTGAGTGAGAAAATAGCAATCGAGATGGAGCCATCCGGTTGGTGCCATTTTAACTTTTGGTCCCCCAACAGGTCAAAGACGCGACCCCCCTACCTGCCTCTCCCTTCTCTCTTCTTCCTCTCCCTTTCCCACCCTCATCTAGGCGATAGGGGGCTGCCGGCCCACGGGACGGTCTGTGAAGGAGGGCGGGCTGCGGGACCGGGAACTGGTGGCCCGGGCCCGCGAGGCACCCGCAGGAGACGAGGCACTTGTTGCTCTGGGTTGCCCAGCCGTCTCTCGCAGCTGTTTCGCAGTGGTCGGCTCGAGGCTTGGAGAGAGAGCTGGGACGTTTCTGTGCTGCCACGTTTTGCCTTCGAATGGGCTGGGTGGCAGAGGGGAGACGAAATCGGGGAAGCAGGGGCAAGGATTCCGATCGAGATGCGGTTGCCTCTTCAGACGGATACAACAACACTTACTGAGCGCCTATGGAGCACAGACCCAGGCCGGGGGTCGGGGCTGGTGGAGGGGGAAGCGGCGATGGGAGGCAACAGATCTGAATGGAAACAGGGTCCTGCCTAGGGGAGCTCACAGCCTGAAGGGGGAGACGTGGTAAAATGGTCTTCCCCAGGAACTGATATCAGAACAGAGATACTTTTCTCTTGCACTCCCTCTCTCTTTTTTCCTTTTTCTTTTTTTCCTCCTCTTTCTGTTTCTTTTTGTTGTTGCTGCTGTTTGTTTGTTTTTTTCTTATGCACATTCGGGTACTTGGTAGCATAAAGAAAGAAGAAAGGCTGGATAGGAACAGGAAAGGATGGACAGCCACCCCCCTCCCGACATTTTTCTTAGGACATGAAAATTGCTTGATACTGAAGGTGCTGGGCTCTTGAAGACGACATGGATTAGATTCCTTGTCTTGTAATCACTGGCTTGAAATATTCTCTGGTTGCCTCAGAGAAGAAACAGGGCTCCAATCAAGCAGTGGTGGCAGACCCAGCAACCGATTGTTTTCTTGTGTTTTCTGCCCCCCTTCCTTTTTCTATTTTTCTTGCCTCCCTCCCCTACAAGTAAGCGGTGCAGAGATGATAAAGAGGGGTAGTAAGTGCCCACTTTCTAGAAGGGTCTGAGCAGATTCTTAATGACCACTGGGGGAGGGAGGTGTCACAGAGAATTCTAGCCTTGTTGGAAAGATTAGAGACTTTTGAAGATGCTGAAGATTCTTTGGGCCAGGAGGTATTTATAAATATGACATTCTACATCTCTAATTCATCATGAAGGCTAGAATATATGGGGCTTTAAAAAAAAGCTTCTGGGAAAATAACTTTAGAGTCTTCAGAGATTGTTTATTATTATTATTTTCTGGTTTGGGGAGATTCTTTTCCCTTCATCCCCTTATCTTATCCCTTTGGCATTTGACCTAGGGGATCATTTCTTCAGGAGCCATTTGAATCATTCTAGGTATGATGATTTGGCCAGCGGTCAGATGAGGCATGTGGGCACAGGAGTGCTGGCTCCTGCTCCCTTAGCCACTGCCACCTGATGGGAAAGCTGTTGAACCTCTGTACCTCAGTTTCCCTCCGGGAAGAATTATGCCCACCTGTCACTACAGATGAGTGTGTCTGGGCTCAGAGCAGGTGTCCTGGGAAAACCAAGTGCTGCTGCCAGGTCTGTCTTGGAGGGGGCTTGTGGTGTGGAGGAAATTGAGACATCTCTAGCTGCTCTCTGGCTACTTCAGAGCCCCCAGACTACCCTGATCATCCCAGCTTCTCTCACACGAAACCATGGCTGAGGCAGGACTTTGGAGCCCCATGACATTTGCTTTGGGGACCTATTCCTTCTCTGGGTAGCAGCCCCCAGCTTTCTAGGTCTTCCTCGCCCTGACGCCTTCCTACTTTCTCCCAGTTCTGGTGGAGACCTAAATGCCTCCAATCTGAATGCCTGTGGCCCTTTGAGACAGTGTGCTACTTACTCAGGGACATTGCTGTCCTCAGAATCAGGAAGAGTGCACCCCACTTGGGGCTCTGACATCACTGGCATGAGGAAACGGTCATATGTGTCCCCTCTTGGTGATGTGGGTAGCTGGCTGTCTGGGCAGCACCTGGCCAAATCTAGCACCTTTCCTGCCTCAGGCAAAAGTTCCAACTGGATCTCCTCCCTCTGCTCAGGTGGTCTCTGGTCTTGGGTCTAACCCGTCACCATCCTTGCCTTGTAGCTGTGTGGAATGGCCCAGCTTTGGGCTTTGCTAGTACCTGCTTGGTCAATAAAGCCTTTGCCCTTATTACCTCTTCTCCCTCACATACAGCACAACAGCTCCAGCTGGCAGCATCACCTCCCACCAATTTATCCAACTTCTGCCAAGGCTCTGAAATGCCAACTATGTCGAGGCCTGCACTTGATGTCAAGGGTGGCACCTCACCTATGAAGGAGGTAACTTTTGCCATTTTACAGTCGGAGACACTGGAGCCGGAAAGACAACCAGGCCAGGGCCGCGGCCATGTGGTAGGCCCTCCTGGCTGGGGTATCTGGTGTCCTTTAGCAGACTGGAGACAGCAGGGCTTTCTTGGGAGAGAATGAAAATAGCTTCTACTTAAACATGGTCACTTTGAACCCACTAGGGGTATTGAAAGATGGCAGAGAATGGAGCAGAGAAGCAGAATTTGAAAAAAACTGCTCCATTGTCTCAATGGATTAAAGTGAGGCTGAGAAGAGGGACAATGAGATCCCATTTGTAGAATGGCGAGCTGAAGGCAGAGTCGGGGGACGGAGACGAAAGCAGTGAACTCATTTAGGATGACGGGTGCCCAGCATGAGGACTTAGGCCTGAGCACAGTGCTCGGAGCCAAGGTGGCAGGAGGATACTTGAGCCTAACTCAAGCTAGGAAAGGAGCCTACCTTTCCAGGGGGCCTTCTTGCTACTTCCCCACCACTAGCCCCTGATGAAGCACTTTTTGGGCCTGATGAATGGTGAGGAACAAAGCCTGGAGCAGGGGTACCATACTCTGCCTTTCTCTGTCTTCTAGGATGCCAACCCAGAGATGAGCTCTCTGGCCTACTCTAACCTGGCGGTGAAAGATCGCAAAGCAGTGGCCATCCTGCACTACCCCGGGGTAACCTCGAATGGAACCAAGGCCAATGGGGCTTCTGCTAGTTCCTCGGGATCTCCATCTCCAATAAGCTCTCCTACTGCCGCCCCTCCCACTAAACCCCCACCCTTCAACCTGAACCCCGCCCCTCACCTGCTGGCCAGTATGCAGCTGCAGAAACTTAATAGCCAGTATCATGGGATGGCCGCCGCCACTCCGGGCCAACCTGGAGAGGCAGGGCCCCTGCCAAACTGGGGCTTCGGGGCTCAGGCGGGAGGGGCGGGGTCACTCTCTCCTTCTGCTGGTGCCCAGAGCTCTGCCATCATCGATTCAGACCCGGTGGATGAGGAGGTGCTGATGTCACTGGTGGTGGAACTGGGACTGGACCGAGCCAATGAGCTTCCGGAGCTGTGGCTGGGACAGAATGAGTTTGACTTCACTGCAGACTTTCCATCTGGCTGCTGATGCCAACTGTTCCTAAAGATGGAGGAATAAAGCCACCAATTCTGTTGTAAATAAAAATAAAAGTTACTTACAAGAGATGGTCCAACTGGAGGTGCTCTTCATTGAGGTCTAATGGGGTGTGGCATGGTCTGACATTCTTTTAGCAATTCTGAGACCCATGGTGTGGTTGCCTGAGACCCATGGTGGGGTTGCTGGTGAATAGCTGGGAGGGAGCTGGGCTGGATGGGAGGAATGGGGAAGACCGAGGTGGGGTCGGGGGGTGGGGAGGGGAGGCTCCTCACTGAATTCCTGCTGCCACTGCCATCACCACTGCCATTATATCTCCAGGAGTCCAAGTACCTAGCCTCACTGCCTTAAGACCCCAGGAACACTGTCCTATTCGAGGTTGATGACAGGGGCTGGTTGGGAGCATTCTTGGAAGAAAGGCTGATCCAGACCCTTCTATAGCATCCTGGCCACTTGTGCATCCAAGTCTAAAGGGTTGCCCTAGCCACGTGGCACATGCTTCACCAACTCTAAAAGGCACCCCCACCCCATCTCTAGAACCAATCCAGATGATGCAGTAAGGCCACTCCTTGCCTTTTTGCCCTTGGGCAATAAGTATGACCCAAGAAGGATCCTATGACCTGGGAGCTCAGATTTCTCTGGAAAATTGCAAAAGCTACAGACCGTTAAACTGAGATTTTAGATGCCTTCAAGTCCTTCAGACAGTTGCTCAAGCCCCACCTCCATGCCTGGGACATGTGTCCCCTAACTCTGGCCCACACTGTATGGGGACAGCCCATTTCTCTGAGCTGGCCTCCATTTTAGAGACATAGATCGGAGCTGGGCTCGACAAGGTCAACATTTGGGGATATATCTGTTGCCCTTAGATTAACTGCTGAGGAGGCAGTAGCTTTAGAAGCATGCCAAGTGACAGGACGGCAGCATTGAACTGGATCCCCGCCTTGAGGTGGAAGGGGGCAGGTGGGGGCATGGGGCTGGTGTGGAATCCAGCCCTGTCCTCATTGACACAACCGAAGAGCCTAGAGGCTCCTCTACCCACATTTCAGACTCCCAGAGACATTCTTCCTTGGACACTGTGAAAACTAATCAGCTTTTCAGGACTAGCATGGGGCCTGTCCCCTAGAAAATGCTTTCGAAGGAGCCCACCGAAAGAGGCAAGGCATTGGACTGAGCATTCCCTGAGCATCTGCTCTGGGCCAGGCACTCTGCTAAGTATCAGGAGCATAAATTAAGGTTTGTACCACTGAGGGAGTCCCCCATCTAGAAGGAGGAAGGCATCAACAAATTACAATAAAACAGTATTTCCTATAACACAGGCGGAAGGTCCTATTCGATCCCAGAAAAGGAAACAGCTCCATCTGCCTGGGAAGTCTGGGGAAAGCTTCCTGGTATTGAACTGGTTCATTTGTTTGTTTTGATATCTCACAAGTAATAAATACATGATCCAATCTCTTTGTGAAAAGTAGAAACTCTACAGATAAAGCGAAAATACCCTTTGACCAGCTCTCTCCCTCAATCCTGATCGCCTCTTGCCCTCCACTGAGGTAGCAACTGTTTATCTGTTTGTGGTGCATCCTCGCTGGCCTTGCTCTGTGCCTTTACACAAAGACTTATCTACCCACAAAAACAATTGGGTTTAAAAACAAGACCAGAGTCAGCCAAAGAAAGAATGAGTGAGGGGTAAAGCTGTTATGTAAGTGCATGTTCATGAAAGGGTCTGTACTAGCTACACAACTGGAGCTTAGCAAGCAGGGTCATAGGGCTGGGACGGGGTGTGAGAGGAGGGGACTAGAAAGAAGTTTGCAAGAGGCTGGGCTCAAAGGGCCTTCTAGGCCAAGCTGGGAGTGCGCCTTTATCCTTGGTACCACCAGCCCTGTGGCTTGTGGAGCCTCTCTGGAAATTTGCAGGAAAGCAAAGAATTAACCAACTTTGATTTTTAGAATGATCCTGCTGAAGGTGTATGGTTAGATTTGTCTAAGGCTGTGAACAGGAAGACATGGGGTCCTAAGGGATCTGGGGAGGCAGGGTGAGCGTGTAGGGTGGTAATCGTTTATTGCTGGAGAAGGGGCATGATGGGGGGGGGCGGACATCACAGAGTACAGTTGGGGGAAGGCAAGGAAGCCTCTGCCCCTGCCCCACCATTTCATGTTCAGGCCTCTCACAACAAGACCAGGCACGTTCATTAGGTCTCCAGGAAATTCCTGAGCCAACTCCAAGCCTCACCCTGGGCCAGGTCCTAGGGGCTAGGAAGCAAGGTTCCCAGATACACACAGGTAAGGAACGTTGCCTACCCACAAGGAGCTTGTAGCCTGGGAGCAGGTGAGGATGTGTAAGCAAGAGTGCCTCCTAGAGGCCAGGAGCTGTGCTGCTCCCTGGGGACAAATGTGGGGGACCCTGTTCCAGCTCTCAAGGAACTCACAGTCCAGTGGCAGAGACAGCCATGGTCTCGAAGGATACATTGTATTTCCATAAGGCAGCAATTGTGTTAGGGGACTGAGGGGAGGGCATGGCCTTCAGGCACAGGGAACAACTAGAGCACAAACTAAAAGATAAATCAGGACATGGTGTAAACCAGAACCAACCGTTAGGAAGCCCATGGCTTTTTCAAGGAAGGGCAGAAAGTGCAGCAGCTTGACTTCCTTGAAGGGCAGAAGGCTGAGAGAAGGTAAGTTAGGATCAGATTTTGCAGTTGCTTCTACTTTATTCCACAAGCAAGGGGAGTATCATTCCACAAACATGGACTGAGCACCTACTATATACCAGGCATGCACAAAGCATCTGGGCATAGGCGACGAGCACATTGCCCTTGCTCTCATGAAGCTTGAAGTTTAGCAAGGAGATCAACAACAGTCAAATAATCATGCAGATCATTAAAACCATAAATCCTGAGAAGTGACAGGAACAAAAGGTATAGGTGCTACGAAAGAGTGCAATGGGGAATTTAATTTCTTTTTAAAAAAATTTTATTGAAATATAGTTGATTTACAATGTGTTAATTTCAGTTGTACAGCAAAGTGATTCAGTTACATATGTAACTTTTTCAGATTCTTTTCCGCTATAGGTTATTACAAGATACTGAGTATAGTTCCCTGTGCTATACAGTAGGTCCTTGTTGGTTACCCATTTTATACATACATAGTACTGTGTATATGTTAATCCCAAACTCCTAATTTATCCCTCCCACCCCTTTCCCCTTTGTTAACCCTAAGTTTGTTTTGTATGTCTGTGGGTCTGTTTCTGTTTTGTATATACATTCATTTGTATCATATTTTTTTAGATTCTACATATAAGCGATATCATACGATATTTGTCTTTCCTTGTCTGACTTACTTCACTTAGTATAATAATCTCTAGATCCATCCATGTTGCTGCAAATGGGGGACTTAATTTCAATTGCAGTATCCAAGAGGGCTTCTGAAGATTTTGAATAAAGGAGTGTTGTGGTCAGAGCTTGCATGAGGAAAATGAATCAGGCTACAGTGTGCATGAAAGATTGGAATTATGGTGATGCTAGAAAGCTGTTACAATGGTCCAGGCAAAAAATAACAAAGACAGGAAATTAGTCTATGATGAAAAAGTAGCATTTCAATGGGAAGTTGTTGTTCAATGATTAGAGAGCTTCACTTTTGATTTTTTTTTTGGGGGGGGCGCTGTGTTGGGTCTTTGTTGCTGCGCAAGGGCTTTCTCTAGTTGTGGCGAGCAGGGGCTACTCTTCATTGCAGCACATGGCCTTTTCATTGCAGTGGCTTCTCTCGTTGCGGAGCACGGGATCTAGGCGTATGGGCCCAGTAGTTGTGGCGCACGGGCTCAGCTGCTCCGTGCCATGTGGGACCTTCCGGGGCCAGGGCTCAAACCTGTGTCCCCTGCATTGGCAGGTGGATTCTTAACCACTGCACCATCAGGGAAGTCCCTAGAGGTTCACTTTTGTAAGATAAAAAAGTTCTAGAACTCTGTTGCACAACAATGTGATAACACTACTGAACTACACACTTAAAAGTGGTTAAGATGGGAATTCCCTGGCGGTCCAGTGGTTAAGACTTGGCATTTTCATTGCTGTGGGCCCAGGTTTGATCCCCAGTCGGGGAACTAAGATCCTGCAAGCTGCGCAGTGCAGCCAAAAAAAAAAAACAAAAGGTTAAGATGGTCAATCCTTTATGTGTTTTTTTACCACAATTTTTAAGTTAGCATTTCAAAGTAGAGAGGAAATGAGGAACTATTCAATAAATGCTTTGGGATGACTGGATGCACTAGCTCATACTGGACACCAAAATTATTTCCAGATGGACCAAAGATTTAAAAATAAAAAATGAGGGACTTCCCTGGTGGTCCAGTGGCTAAGACTCCACGCTCCCAATGCAGGGGGCCCGGGCTCAATCCCTGGTCAGGGAACTAGATCTCACATGCCACAGCTAAGGGTTTACATGCCAGCCACTAAAGATAATGCATGCCACAACTAAAGATTCCAGTTGCCGCAACTAAAAGATCCTTCATGCCGCAACTAAAATAATGATCTTGCATGCCACAAGGAAGACCCCACACACGGCAATGAAGATCCCGCGTGCTGCAACTAAGACCCGGCATGGCCAAATAAATAAATATATATTTTTTAAAAAATGAAACCATAAAAGTACTAGAAGAAAATATGAGGGGATTTAAAAAGAAAATCTTGATATGAGGAGACCTTTCCAAGAATGACACAAAACCCTACATCGAAAAAAAAAGTTTATGGCAAAAAAAAAGAAACAAAAAAAAGTTAAAATCAAAAGGTAAGTGACAGGCTTGAGAAAATATATGCAACTCATAATGAATATGAAAACAACTCTTACAAAGCAAGACGTCAAAGACCTTCAACCCAATATAAAAATGAGCAAATAATAGCAAATAATAGCAAAGTGAAATACAGAAAAAGAAATTTAAATGACTTTAAAACTTATCAAAAGATGCTCAAATTCACTCATACTAAAAGAAATGTATTTTAAAACTACACTAGGGGACTTCTGGTTCCAGAGCAAGATGATGTAGACTCACTTTTCTCTGTTCCTCTTCTTCAAATAGAACTGTACATGCTAGAAATT